AGATCATGTGGAAACATGCATATTTCTTTCTTCCTCTTTCTTCATTGTTTTTGGGCCCAATGTAGGTATGTTTTTAATTGTCACGTTCTGTGAGCAAAACAGCACGCAAATTAATTAAATACAAATTTTAAAAAATAATTAATCCAAATATTCTTATATTTTATCTCAATTTTAAATCAAGTCCCTATAGTTTATTTTATTCAAACTGGGTACTTATTATTTGATTTGATAATTTTAATTTCTAGAATTTGTAAAATTCTGTTTATAGAAATGCAAGGGTTGTTAAATAGAAGAAAAAAAGACATTAAAATACCCTAAAAATGCTACAAGACAAACTAGAGTGGATGAATTTCAAAATCTCAAATAAGATTCCTCGTATTATTTTAGAATTTTAAAATATTATGAAATGACAACATTGCTTGTATTCCTAGTGACTACTTTTATAAGACTATTGACTATTCTATTTTTACTATTGACTACTTTTATTTTTAAATTTTCAGTGACTACTTTTGTAAAGCTATTGATTACACAAAAGTAGTAAATAACTAAACAAAAGTTAGTCATTAGATCTCCAATAACACTTAATGTATTTTTTGAATTTTCAAAACAAAAGTAATCAATAGCAAAACTAGAGTAGTCAATAACTAAATAAGAGCAGTTACCAAATTTTTAAAAATGAAAGTAGTCAATCGCCATGCTTGAGTAGTTAGTAGCTAAATAAAAGTAGTCATCGAAACTCTAAAAATAAATATAGTTAATAGCTAAAAAAGTAGTCAATATATAAGAAAAAATAGTCACTAAAACTCCAGCAACTAGTCACTGGAGTTTTGGTGACATGTTGTTAGAGTTCCATTTCCAACAGCAGCCCAGTGGCAAGGTCACAGGTACCAGAACTCTAGCGGCCAGAAACAGGCTAAAAGTGTTGAGGTGGTAATATTTTCAAAAAAATAGTGGAAGACATTTGCATAATTTTGCAAGATTTGAAAATTTTAAAATAGTACAAAGGGTTTAAATTGAAATTTTGAAATTCACGCATATTGATTTATCTTTCAGTAATTTTCATGATATTTTATTATCTTTTTCCCTAAATAGAATGAAAGAAATCCCATAAAGTACATGAATGTTAATTTTATAAATTAAAATTAACAGGTTATTTTTTCTCAAGGATAAATCTCTATCAAACTATTAGGGTCTTCTGCTATTAAAAAAAACAACTATTTAGGGTCCAATTTAAACAAAATAAGCGACAAGGACATGATTTAAAAATGGTGTAATAACGACCTCTAGATTATTTTTTTCAAAATAAAATTACTCTAGAAAGCCTATTACTATTTATGTTATAGCAAGCTTGAATATATATCAATCGGTAATTAATATCAAATCACAGAAAATTTATCTGCACAATTTAATTATTTAATTAGGAAAAAAACGGAAATTATATTTATATTCCTGTGATCCAAAGTTCAAAGAAATAGATGCGTGCAATTTTTTTCACCTGTATTAAAATTCTAAAAGTTTTTGCATGCAATTTAACTAGACCTTATTAAAATATCGTTTTGACATATTAATTTAAAAAGAGGGGGGAAAAAAAGCATTTCATATATATTACCCAAAAGTCCATGCGATGATAAAGATAAGACCTGGGGCAAGGTTGGGCATGGCAGTTCCCATTGCTGGCGAAGTTAGATTGATTCCTCTCAGGAATAACGACTGGAACAAAGTTACCCTACACCCACCAATTCATATCAGAAATTAAGTACATAGATACTCATTGAAAATTCTAAACAATTAATCTTTATGTGGAAATTGAATTCATTTTGGTCTAACATAACATAATTAGTACTCCTCCGGTTCTAAATATAAGATTCTTTTTGTAGTGTAAATTACACTATAAAATGAGTCTTATATTTATGACTGGAAGAGTAGTTATTAACTTACAATATTCAATCAACATCAAAGAACAAATGAATTCTGTGCAGTGAAAGTCTCACAATTTTCAAACCAATGATGTAATTATTTATTGATTTCATAATTGTTATTGTAGGCGCCTTGTCATTTGAGGCACTTTAAGGCCCTCTTTGGTATGAGGCGGGCATTGGGGATTTGTCCAAGGATTGCTCATTCTGTAATGTTCGGTATCCGTAATCCTAAGATAATACAATACCACTTTCATTACATTAACAGGTTACGGTGAATTTATCTTTTGAAGTTTTCACTTATGAGTACTGGGTCCAGAAACCTTTTAGATACAAATTTATCCTAAAAATTTAAAATCATAACAATATTACCCTTTATCGTTGAAATAGTGATGCTGATTCTTAACATTTTTAACACTAGTGAGCTCTATTGTTATAATTTTAAATTTTTAAGACAAATTTACATCCAAAAAAAATTTTCAGGTATCCTATGCTTGTGCGTGAAAACTCTCAGAAAAAAAATTTACACCTTTACCTTAGATTGATTAGTACCACCACTCCCTGTAGTGGACTATCATTTGGAAATAATCGAGATGAGCTATAGTTGGAACTGCTACTTATGGTCTTATGAGAGGAATGGAATTGATTAACATGGGAGCAAGAAGCTAACTTTATTTATCCACCAACAATCCTAAATCTAATTGGTTTATTTCTTTCTTGTTTGCTAACTTCAACCTGAAATTAACATGCGTATGTCTCCGATTATAAAGCGGGTAATTAAGCTAATAATAATTAACTTGTTGCTAAAGAGAGAAATATAAGAAAGGGAAGGTTGTTCATCAATTCTTTAGATCAGTAACACTGGGATTGAACATTTGAATTCAAAAACCCCTTTTGCCTCCATGAAACTTTCTTCATATAATCAATTAACATGTCGATGGTTCATTTAATTAAAAAAAAAAAAAACACTTTCTCTTACCCTCCAAACGAAAGCACCAATAGCTGGATAACAAACTTGAGACTGAATTTTCTGGGCCATTTAGTCCTGCAACAACAGATACCCACAACATCTCAGGAACTTATATATATATATATATAGAGAGAGAGAGAGAGAGAGAGAAATCATATAGAGAAAATGGAATATATAAGAGACCTTTCAAAGTAGAGGGAAAAGGGTAGAAGAACAAGGAAGGTGGCGAAGGAAGTGAAAATGACGAGGGTGAGAGGGGTGAGACCCAAAGCCATAAGAAAACTCATAAGCACAGCGTTGCCGGCATACACAAATTGCACTCCGATCAATCCTCCCATTATTATCACATCTTCTATCGCACTGCTCATTCCTCCTCCTCCACTTGACATCTCCATTCCAAAATTTCCCTTTTTTTTGTTTTTTAAATTTCTTCCAATCTCAAAGAGGGCTTCGTTTATATATATTAATAATAATGGGTCCTGGAATTTCTGGTCGAAAATGAATGAAGAAGCCAGAAAGTATAGCTGCTTCTACGCACGCGGTGGTTATTACTCGTCTTTCTTCCTTTGTCGTGTGGTTCCGATACAAAACTGACCTAACCTTCTTGGTGTTTCCTACCAGTCTTCTTCTTCTTGTTCTTCGTTGACAGGGAATTTCGTCAATTCGTTTGTTGTTTTTTCCAACTGAGATAGAGAGATATTAATGAATATGCCTGCCTACCAATTCTAAGATTTCTGTCTCTTTCTGAGTTTCCTGTGTTTCACTGTTAAAAATAGAGGAAATTTGTTAAGGATTTGCGTTGAAATGCTTCTTTTTTATTAATTACCATATCTAAATCTAGATTTTGTCCTAAAATTACACAAGATATTATTCTGATTCTTATTTATCTCTCATTCATGATATAACTTAACTGGTGGCTAATGCAATTTTAACTTCTTTAATTTTTTTTTTCTTCTCCTCCTTCAATTTTAACTAATTGAACGTCTCGTTTGGATATTTTTAACACACGGGAAAATACAAGCTAAGAAAGAAAAGAAAATGCTTTTAACATTCTTGTTAATTTATTTATTTCGCTACAATTAATTATTTACTATTCGATTTTGTTGATTCAAATTTAAACATTGTCGAATCTAAACAAAATAGTTCACGTAATATAATTTTTTTTCCAGCTAATTCTTGTCAATTAAACCTACATTCACAGTCATTTTGCTCCTAGAAAAATGGAGAGAGGGGGGGGGGAAGAGAGAGGATATTTTAATGAATTTTATTTTTTAAAAGTAAGTGGAATACATTTTGCACTCTCATTCTAGCATATATATGCAGAAATAGATAATAAGATAGTGAAACTTTTAAATTGCTTTCCAACAACTCCTGAGTGGAATTATACAATACGAAAGGGACATGACACTCATGCATCAACTTTTGCTTGCAGACACATGTGATGAAGGCAATAAGTACAGATGCATTAATTGTTTATTTGGGAGGCACAAAATGCTTATTCAAAAGCCTTTCCAGCAGAGTCAATGAAAGACATGAAGGCAAACCAAGAGTTTGCCTGCGATGGGATGTGGTGACTCTTCAAGAGTTGGTTCACTTTGCTGCAACAACAAGGAATATTCAGTTACCAAAGCGTCCAATCCAAAACATATATTACCAAATACCAACTACCAAATATAAATCCAAAGTCGTCCATTGTTATGAACACAAGTCAAAAAAAGAGTCTAATTCCAAAAGACAAGCCTATTAAGAAAGAGAATCCTTGACTTATAAATCACACAATACTTGTGAGACTCTCCAAATTGAGTCCCATAACAACAGACCCCTTTCAAGAGCTTACGTCCACAATTGGTCCACACCATGGCTCTTTACCCAGCTTCTTGTGAGTCAAAATCCTCCATGGGCAACCCTCTCCGTGAAAATCAGACTCAAAATAAAAGCACTTTTGAATTTGTTATGAACACAAGTCTAAAGAAAAAGTTTAATCCCAAAAAACTAGCCTAACCTATTAGGATACAGAGCCCCTTAACTTATAAATCATAAAACACTTGTAAGGATCCACGATATGGTACTCATGACATTCATATATTAAAATTCATTCAAAGTTGAGATGAATACCTCAGCATCTACGAGGTGTTCTCAGCCCACATTTACCAGGCAAGGCCAAGGCATTTTTGGGGTCGATTCCAGCTGCAGGCAATAGAGACTTGTAACTGCAAAGACAGGGCAGATTGGCCTGCTTAATGACTGCACAACATCTCCTAGAGGGCGGTGGTGGGTATCTCCCAGTAATTGCTGCACGGCACAAGTTCAGCCTAGATGTTTCCACGTTACATATCACAACAGCCTGGGCAACACACAACAAGGCAATGAGCAGAGCTGCCACCAGCCACTGGACCAAAGCTTTGCCACTAGTCTGAGCCATACTATCCTCAACCAGTTAGAACTCAAAAGTAGTGAATTGGCTAGGTCTAGTTCATCATGCTCTCTTGTATGAATGTTAATTTATAGAGTTCGTAGTCATGTGTTAGAAATATTTTGCATTAGTTTAGTATAGCATCAAAAGTTCTCTTTGTTTTAGGTGTGTCATGTGAAGCCAGACTGTATAGAGGTTCACGAGATGGGTTTACATGAAAATTAAAAGTAGGGATCATAAATTATAATTATCAGCAAACAAACAAACAAGCTTAAACTGGCCCATCACTTGATAACAAACAAAAATGGATTATTTTGTTTGAGAATCAGCGGGCAAAGCTTATTGGTCCCATTTGGTACGAAGCATTAAAAATGAGAAATGGAGATTGAGATTAAAAGTATAAAACTATATTAAAAAGATGTTTAGTATGAGTAATTGCATATACTTGGGATGTGGGATTGGGAAACACCATGAGGGGAGAGGTGATATTCTCCAATCCTGTCTATATGGGATTGTCTAATTCCATGTGATAAGAAATTAACATATGTTTTCAATCCTAATCCCAGTACTTATCCCTTATTTTTAATACTCAGTACCAAACGTAACCATTATTCTTTATGCCTTCCTGTCATGCATTGCTCTTTTGTTGTTCATGGAAAAAGATTGCTTACTCGATACTAGCCCGTGAGAGCATAGTATCGAATAAAGCGAGAAAGCTACTAACCCCAGTCCAAAAAAAAAATCGAAATTAAATTATTAGCGGAATTCTTCGAAGTGAAATTATTAGAGGCCGGAAGAGGTGCAGCAGAAAGTACCATGAGAAAGCGGTCAACAACTCCTAGACATTGTGCTCAAACAAGACGTCACCCCGGCCACCGCAACTGCGCCGTGAAATGGGAACATTGACCGCAGGAAGCCTAGTTCCGGCGCAGCGCTGCCGGCGAAAAAAGTTAGAAATTCATACAGGATACATGCATTGTTAAATCTAAAGCAGAGAAAGAACCAAAATGAAAACGAAATTGAAACCCGGTAAAGAAGGATGGCAGAAGGGGAGTAAAGGTAGAATTACCGCAGGAGTAGCAGAAATGGTGACTGATCTGAAGGAAGGAAGAAGGGTTTCGAATGTTGGAATTAATAGCTAACCTGATAGACGGAATAGATGTCCCCCTTGCCTTTTTGCTACAAGCCGAAGCCATCGACGAATCGACGCCGAGCTAGTCATCCTCGAAAGTTACAGCCCAAGGCAACAACGCCAAAGGTCCTCTCCCCACATAAAAGAAACAAACAAAAGCTTGTGGAGGTCCAGGATGGCTGGATGGGCCAAGTGCCTTATGATGGATTGGGCTTAACTTTCTCCATAGATAAGGAACAAAGTCTTAAAATATATACTACCTCGATCCTAATTATAAGACTCAGTTGATTTATTTGAGGAAATTAAAAAAATAAGTTAAGTTAGTTATTTGTAATAAATAAGTGTTGTCATTCCTAAAATATCCTTGCTAATTAAGTATATTGGCTAGAACTATCATTATTAGAATGATTATCTTGGAAAAAAATGCATAAATATGAGAGACAAAATGGATTTGGGTCTTATAATTAGGACCAAACAAAAAGTCAAATGGGGTCTTATAATAAGGACCGGAGGTAGTACAATAGAATTTTTTTTTGATACATAATATTAATAGAATTATTTTATTAAAGTAAATTAATATTGTTAAGACATAATTGAATTATTTGAAAAAATTAAAAAATTTAATAAATTACCTTAAAGTATTAATATTTATCATTTTTTAAACCAATCTATCACTCTTACAAAATTAGTATATAATCTAATAATATACGAAAGTATTTTAGAGAGATCATATAATATAAGTCATAGTTAAGTAATTTATTAAAATTTTTAATATTTTTAAATTATTTGATTGGGTCTTATATTAAAGACAGGTGATAGTAACATTTTAGATCTATATTTAACTTACGGGTGTGAGTTAATTTAAGGAAATTCAAGCAAAACAAAAATATCAGCAAAAATAATAAGCTCGCTCCAGTAATTAGATCATGTATTTTTGCGGTATTTATTTAGGGTTGATATTATTTTTAATCTGTTTCGTTTTGATTTTAATTTCTGAAATTTAAAATAAGTAGTTTTGTTTTGTAAAAATTGACTTCATTTTGGTCCACCTAAAATTTTTTTATTCTTGGAACATGTCACAAGATTGTTGATTTGTTTCAGAGACCAAAATTGTTGATTTCAAATTTCAATTCTAAAAAAAATAAAATAAGATCAAAATTTCATAAATTAAAAGTGATATTAATTATTTTATTTACGTCATTTTTCTCTGCAGATAGTTCCTCTGATGCAATTCAACTACTACAGAAGAAAGTCTTTGATATGCACGAGGACTCGTCAAATAAGGAATTTAAGTTTTAAATGTAGCTCTTAATTTACTACTATCTCCAATCCTAAATATTGACTAATTTAAGTAAATTAAGAAAATAAGATGAGTTAATTATTTGTAATAAATAAATATTGTCTTTATTCAAATATCTTTGTTAATCAAGTATATTGGTTAGAACTACCATTATTAGAAGAATACCTTGAGAAAAAATACATAAATATGAGAGATAAAATGGATTGGAATCTTATATTTAAAATCAAAATAAAAATCAAATAAAGTCTTATATTAATCATTGGACGAGGTAGCATTGATGTTCCTGTTTGCAATTGTCAGAATTGATATTTGCAATTAATTCATTTAAACAAAATTTTCAGAGACCTAACTATTATTAATTCAACACTTTGGAACTTAGGGTATATTTGGCTCAATGAGAGGAGGGGAGGAGAGGGATTTTAATTGAAGGGAGGGGAGGAGAGTAGAAAAATTTTAATATTATCTTGTTTGGATTTATAAAAACAGAGGGGAGGGGAGGGAAAAATATTTTAATATGGACAATTTTGCTCTTATTTTATTTAAGATATGGGTATAATGGTCACAATATGACAAAATATAGACATAATGGTCACAATATGACAAAATATGAATATAATAGTCACAACATGACAAAATATTACCATTTCCCTCCAAATCCTCCCCATTTTGAAAGAGAGGTTGAGGAGGAGAGGGGAGGGAAAATTTTTAAAAATTTTTCCTCCCCTTTTAAAATTTGTGTGTTGTCAAACAAGAGAAAATGATTAAAGTCCCTCCCCTCCCTTCCTCTCTCCTTCTTCCCAAATCCCTTATACTAAACACACCTTTAAATGCCATTCTTCCCATTGTATATTTTTGCAGATGAGAAGATAAACTCAATAGTTTGAGCAGTTTCCATTTTGTAGCATTGTGTTTCCACACACAAGTTTGGCAGGAGAGAAGCCTAACTCGTTTACCGCTTAAGCCACATTGTTGTCTTTATCCTGCGATCTCATTTATTTCTATTGTATACTCTTCGGCTACTTAATATATTAGCTAATTTAAAAGTTAATACTACCTCCAGTTTTAATTATAAAAACCAGTTGACTAATTTGAGAAAATTAAAGAAAGGATTTAAGTTAGTTATTTGTCATAAATAGGTGTTGTCTTTCCTAAAATATCCTTGCTAATCAAGTGTATTGGCTATAACTACCATTGTTAGGAGGACTATCTTGGAAAAAAAAATGCACAAATATTAGAGACAAAATAGATTGGGGTCTTATATTTAGGATCAAAATAAAAGTCAAACGAGGTCCTATATTAAGGATCGGAGGTAATATTACTTTTATATATAAGACCTATTTCATATTTTTATCAATTTGTTTTAAATTAACTCTATTAATATTCTTTTAATAGTAATCAAATAGGAGAATGAGGGAGAAAACATATTATATTAACTAATTTAGCTAACATCATTAATCTATTCAAATTAATTAATTAGGTTTTATATTAAGAATCAGAGTATTATCAAATAACAAGTTACTAATTAAGTTAGGTCTAACAGAAGGGATTAGTTCTTCACAACATGTTGAATCAATGTTCAAATGCTCATTAAAAGAGGTGTCCATATTTAGTACCTAACAATACCTCAAATAAATTTATCTCTATTGGGAAAATTTCTATGTGTAATAAAAAAAACGAGTTAAATATGAAAATTATAATTTTTATAATTTTAAAAAATATTTACAAATTTTTCATAATTTAATTTTCTATTAAAAATATTCAAAAATATTTATTTCAGAAAGGGAGTATTGCAAGTCTTAATAAAGGAATTTAGTTACCTTAAAATCTATTGACAACTGAAAAACATGTAATAATAAGTTTCAGGACAGGAAATAACATGTTCATTATTACCACTTGTCATTAGATTTTTTGGTGATTAATTTTTTTTAGGACCTTCTAGTAATTCTCACTTTTTAAAACAGCATGCCAAGCCGCTTGTAATAATTAAGAAATTTCCCCCACAAACAGTATAAATATTAGAGGGAAAACTGAAAAGGCGATAAAAATAAACGACTCCGTTAAAATATCATTGGCAGACTTTTTTTTTTTGGGCTAAAAATCATTAGCAGACTTATTGGCATTCAATATAGTTGTTGAAAGATAAATATTAATTAATATCAATTTAATTTCAGGGGTTAGAATTATATATTGAAAGATAAATATTAATTAATATCAATTTAATTCTTGACTTATGATTAACTTTATGTATTAAAACCTTTCATAAATTCATATGACTGTTTTGTAAGAAAATGACATGAAAAAAATTGGGCGATATTTATTACATTTCAGTCTTCTACAGAAACAAACAACGTTGTGAGGACAAACACGCTAATTGACCAAATCCAATTCCAAAAAGGACTCTTATTTTTGTTTTTCAAGCAAATATTTTTATTGTCCCCCAAACAAAGGAAAGATTTCGCAGGCCATAAATTAAAATTAAACTAACTAATCAAACATAAATGGGAACTGACTTCACAATTTAAGTGATTTGGTTAACTAGCTCATCACTGCTGCTATAGTTATCAGTTATATCACTATCCCACGCATACTCTTGAAAGGCCTATTGTCTATTTGGTTTTAATTTATAGCTTATCGTTTATTTGCTCAAAATGACTTTCTCAGGTTAATTAAAAAATTTACTTTAATTCTAAGTATAATTTATATTTTTTTTTGCCAAATCATCTATTTATTACGTATATTCAATACAAATTATTAAAAAGATATTTTAGAAAAACTAATACTGATATTTTGTTGATAACTAATTTAATCATTCTTAATCTCAACACATTAATTATTTTCTAAAGTAGTAAGTTTGTTTAACAGGTTGATTAAAAAGCAAGTACTACC